TTCGATTTGGGGAGTCCGCACAATTTGCCTGAACAGCAAGCAATACACGAATGGCCAAAAGAACATGTCAAAGTTATTATTAAATTACGAATCATGGAGTGGAGGACCCTGGAGGTATCTTTTTTTTTTTTGTTTTTGAGGTTTCTTATCCAATCGGATGCAGCAAATGTTGAAAGCATCTGTTCTAATCAGTTTAATAAATGAATATTGATTGGCGGTCCATCAGAGCCTCAGAGGGAAAAGGGAGGGGAAAAAAAGAGAAGAGGAAAATGTCACAGGCTCTGAAACAGTTTCTCAGGGAAAGTGATTTCCGTGCTTGGGAGGGGGGGGAAAAAGACGAAAGAAAAAAAGGAAATAAACTTGGAAGTCCACGCTGCGGAAGGACAGCACACTCGAAAAATGAGAAATGATTCACGTTATAGAAGTAGAGGGGGTAAATAACGAAACAAAAGGAGGGGAAAGAAAAAGAAAAGAGGGAAAAAACCATGGTTGCCCCAGACGTGGACACCCAGACAGCCGGACATGGACACCGGACCCGTGTCTGGATTAAACCGGACGTCCGGTGAACCGGACATCTGGACATCCGGACCAGGACAGTCCGGTTTGGTGTATCGGTGTCCGGTTGTCTGAAAAAAAAAAAAAAAAAAAAAAAAAAACAGGACACGTACACAGACACACACAGGTTTGTGGGACTGGTCGGGAATGCTAATAAATTAATTATTAATCATATTGCCCCTGAAGACACTCACAGCTCTGCTGTTTCTAGACTGAAAGTTGCCCCCCAATACGGCGATGGCACTGCGGCGGGTGGGAACTTTGACGACAGCTCTGCTGGACGAGGCGACTTCAGGGGCTGCTACTCTTCGACCGGGGCTGCCACTCTTCGACGTTCAAAAATCGTGTCCTCCACATGTTCGAAAATTGGGTCCTCCCGCCGGCGGGGCTGCTAATGTGCTCCCGTGTTTTCAACTTTTCACACAGAGGGCCCTTTCAGGGCCGGTCCGGTTGGGGTACCGGTTCGCAAAAAACATCAGCAATATTTTTCCGGGGTACCACAGGCCCAGGAAAACGTACTGGGGACCCCAAAAAAAAGATTCGAATTTTTTGAAATCGGGGTCCAACTGGACCCTCCGAACCGGACACCTGATACCGGACTGTCTGGATCGGGATTCGGATGTCCGGTTGGCAACCATGGAAAAAATGCAATCGATGGAAAGAAAGGAAAAAAGAATAAAAAAAGAAAAAGAAAAATAGAGTAAAAAAGGATGAGAATTATCAGAGAGGAGCATGACGGCCTGTACCGTGGTGACATCACGACTCAAAAATCAACGGATGAACTATCCATATATTGCTTTAATAATTTTATTCTAATGTGTGATGTGGTGAGGGTCCGACATTGTTCTATATTCTGAATTGTTTTTTCGTACTGAAGTATAGCCAAGTGGAAAGGCATCGGTCTCAGATACCGACATGCAAAGGTTCAAATCCTTTTACTTCAGCAATCAATTTCAATTTGGCCTCTTAATCAACCTCCCCCCCAGCCTGGCCCCTGTACAAGGATTGCATGCATAAAAATCAAGAAATGGCCCAAATTATTAAAACCTAAAATAAGAAAAGTCGAACATAGAAAGTGTTTCCTGGATTTCAAAACGTTTTTTGAAGTATTAGATTTGTGCAAGGCCAATGATTTAAAGTGAGAAACTGAAATCCAAATTGCAATCACATGGAAATAGCCAGAAGTCTCATAATGAACCAGCGAGCAGAAATGCACTTGAAATCACCAATGTACAGCACAACAATGAACAGAATCGACAATGTAGCCCTTCGCCACCATCATCAACAAGTCAGAGTCATACTCCCATCCGGCGCCCAGCGCGCAGCCTACTCCTAGCCTATCTACGTTGACGACAACCAGCCAAATCAGCACGGAGCACATGAAGAATGTCGCCCAAATGCAGACCTCCACACGACAATCAACGATCTCTCACCCTCTCTCACCCTCTCTCTCTCTCTCTCTCTCTCTCTCTCTCTCTCTCTCTCTCTCTCTCTCTCTCTCTCTCTCT